AATGCCACAGGGTGAGAGATGTGAAGACAACGGAACGTAGATTGGGTTGTTCCGTGGTGTGGAGCCTGTCTAGAAAATAATGTAACCTTTGATGGTTCACTCTGGGGAACAGGGGAATGAATCTCACTTTGCAAAAAGAAGTGATTTCTTACAATGGAGCCCCGTGTAGAAATGGATAAACTACCTAGTTGCTTTTAACTGAATTGCAGATAAATGGAAATGATTACAGGAAGCCAAGCAAATTAGGCTGTAACTACGACACCCCAGTGGTCCCCACAGACACCTCGGGAGGCGCATCACCGTCAGCCCTCTGCTCTTTTATTACCCCCTTATCTGTATTCCTCTCCTTCCAGGACATGTCTCACAGGGTGCTTATGTAAAAAGTGGGACAAGACAGTCTGGAAACTTTTCAGCTCCTGCTGTTCGCCCGCTGACACCAAGCAGGCACTCCGGTGAACTCCCTGCCTGTGGTGGAGCAGCTACTGCTGAAGTTTGTCTCAGCACTCAGACAAGTTCTGTTAGCAGGAGTGGTTGATGCTGAGCAAATTCCCCCCCTTCCCTTGGCTCTGCACCTCTCTAGGGCACAGGCTTTGCCCAATTTCTGGCAGATGAGTCGGAAACTTATGCTGCACACAGAGGGATTCAAAGCCAGGAGCCTTCAGGGTGGTGGTGACTCCCATGGTGATGCTCGGAGATACAGGTTCGGAGTCAGCATTGTAGAATTGTCCACATTACTAAATGTGAAAAACAGAAATCAAACACAGCCGTGAATTAATAGTACAAAAACCTACAGTTGTTTCCTGCATTATCATGTAGTGTAGAAGCTTCCCTGAGTACATCACAAGAAGCGCTTTGGGGAACCTGAACGCAGGCTTCCGATCTCGAAATGCAGGCAGGCTATTCCGGGCTACCCATCTGAATGTATTGTAACATAATTAGAGCTGCTCGGAGTTCCAGGGAACAGCCTGTCAATTCTTCCTGGATTTCATTTTTAATTTGCCTCTGGAGCCTAGAAGCCACTTCAGAGCCTATTTAAATAGAGACAATCTTGCACAGGTAAGAATGTAAATATCCCTGCAAGGCTAAGCAATGATGCTAAAAGAAACTATTGGAGATGTTTGCCAACTGGCTTAAGCTACACACTTGAGGAAGTATGCTCTCTGGAGAGAACATTCTGAAGCTTGTAATTGCTTAATAATTCCTCCCCATTCCTAAATACATTCTCAGTTCTGTTATTTTTATATTTGTATAATTTTCAATTTTATGACTGAGCAATTCCATTCCAATTCCATCAGTGTATACTCAACGTGTGTGTGTGTGTGTGTGTGTGTGTATGGGTGTGTATGTGTGTATTCACCAAAAAATATTTGTAAAAGAATGCCTTTAAAACCCCAATTGGAAACAGCCCAAATATCTACTGGCGGTAGACTAGATAAGTAAACAGTGGTATATTGACACAATAGAATACTATACAGCAACACACAGAAACGATTGTGATGGCATGTAAGATGCATCAGTAACTATGCTGAGGAAGGAAACAGATACAAAATACAGTAGTATATATCTATAGTTATACATACACAATTCAAAACCAGGCCATTTCCAAAGCCGGAAGTCAGGAGAATGGGCAGTGAGCATGCACAGGGGCTATGTGAAGGTATGTGGTATTGTGACATTTTAATTCTTGATCCAGACTTCCATGGGTGTATTCAGTTAAAAAAAAATAACAGAACCATGTCATGATATTATACTCAGTAAAAATATACTAAGACAAATTTATTTTACATTTAAATATTTTACTAAAAATAATATAGGTGTGGGATGATGCAGCAGCAGTAGAATGCAATGTTCAGCCAGGCCTACTCTTGTGGAGTCCAGAATCAAATCCAGAGACTCCCCCCTAGACCAGGCCATGATCTGGGTCTGGATAAGGCTGGGGGTGGATCGTGGCTTCAGTCCCCCTGTTGGGGGTGCTGCTGGTCTGTCTCTGTTTTTCTCTCTTTCTTGCCTAATTTCTTGGACAAAGTTAAGGGAGAAAAAAAAAAAAGAAGAAGAAGAAGCTC